GGAGCCACTGTTCTTTCCTAAGATTTTGGTTTCACTGATGAAGCCAACGACATTTAGTGCCCAAGTCACTGCCACCTGAGGACTAGATTAAAAGAGAAAAGAAAGGCCTATCTTCTAGGGAGGGAAAGAATCCAATCCAATATCAGTGCTTGTCTCCTATTCCCTCCTTCCACGGTCCTCTGAGACTCCAGGAGTGTTAGGTGAAACGGGTAACATCGCCTACGAGCTGAAGTCAGACTTGGGAACCAGCTGTGTCAGTGGCATAGGGCTAACAGATAACTCTGTGTGGCTATAGGATCCTCTCTCACTTATACTGAAAAGAGTATTATGAACAACATTCAGCAGGCCCTTGTTACTTCACTGTTTATACTGTGTAGCAAACAACCACACTGCCGATTTCTGCCTGGATGGTTGCTCTGATAGAGCAGCCTTCTTTGCTCACAAACATAAAGACAGATTCAAAGATGAAATCCATCCTTAGCCATGATTCAGCTACAACTAGAGATATGAAAAGATCTGTGATTCTAAGTCTATAATTAACTTAAATATAGGAATTGTAATGGCCTCTGGAGGAAAAAGAACTAAAAACACTCTCCCCCAAAAAAGAACCTCAAACAAAAATAGCAAGGCTGCTTATTCCTTCCATTAAACATTTCAACTATTTTCCAGCCAAATGGAAAAGTTTGGCACATGTCTGGTAATAGAAGGCAAACAAAGCTGCACTGTAGCGGAGGGATATTTTCAGAGCGCTGGCTGTTTTTTTTAATTGGGTTTATATAATGGTATATCAAGAGGAAATACTTTCATGATGAGCACTAAAGTTATATTAATTTATAGGCAGAGAAACTACAAGCCTAATAACTCTATAATCCCCATCCACTAAACCCAAGCAAGCCAATTGTATGAACAGGAACAAAACACGAGTTTCCGTGGCCACAGTATCGGGAGAGGCAAATCTGCTAAGCTGCCAGGTAAGTAACACAAACTCTGCTGCTAGTACCTGCCAATCATTGGCCTTTCTCTATGAAAAGATGCAACTGGGGTACTGAAGAGATGGCTCAGCAGTTATGAGCACCTGATGCTCTCAGAAAGGACCCTGAGGTTCCCACCCCCAATCAGGCAATTCTACAACTGTTTGCAACCAGTTCCAAGGGATTCAGTGCCACCTTTTGGCCTCCACAACCAGCATGAATGTGGTGTGCATACATACATTTGTGCACACATACACATAAAGTTAAAAAAAAAGTGTTAAAATAACTGAAACGGGGATGCCAGGAGCGTGGCAAGTACTTTGAAGACAACCAGGGACTTCCTTGAAAGCACAATAATGTCCTGGTACCTAGATGAAAACAAATGATTCCTTCATTGAAGAGTACAAAATGCTTAGAATGTGCTCAGTGCAGCTACAGAGCCTCCTCATAGATCTTAGCTGAGGAAGTAAATCCCTGCAGAAGCACTGTCCATTACACTCGTTTATTGTATGTGGATGTGCCCATACCACAGTTCGTGAGTGGAGATCAGAGGACAACTTGCAGGAGTCAGTTCTCTCCTTTCACCATGTGAGTGAGTCCCAGGATATACCTTGGGTGGCCATGCTTAGTAGTAGGGGCCTTTGCATTATGAGCCAACTGGCCAGCACCCCACAAAGTTGTCTTAAGCAGTTCTCCACCAGGAGAAACTCTGTTCTCCATGGAACATTTAGCAATGTCTGGATCCATTTTTGGTTTCACAACAGAAGTGCTACCAGCATCCAGTTGAGAAGCCAAGGATGCTGCCAAACATCTTACAGGATGGCCCCGAATGTCAACTGTGCCAAGGCTGAAAAAAACCTGTTCTAATATAAGAAGCATAAGGGGAGAACAAATGACTCACATAAAATGCTAATCTAAATTAGAAAGTCAAGTCTGAAAATTAGTTTAGGTAAGTGTCTGAGTGGAGCTGTGCTACAGCTCAGTGGTAGACAAGTACAAGGCCCTGAAACTAATACCCAGCACCCCCAAAACAAAATACAACACAATACAGCACAATACAACTCCGTTAAGAGTCTGGCTGTGGAGACATGGTACATTGGAAAACGAATTTAGACTTGATTCTTTGGGATTATGAAGTCTGTGAGAATAATACAAATGATGGACAAAGGATGAAAAAATGATTAATTTTAAAGAACTTTAATAGATTCACTATGGTTCAGAAACTGGGATGTTAAGTATAGAAGACAAGTTAATGGTAGATAAACTGATGATAGTATCTACAGGAATAATCACGACCTCTGGATAAGATACAGTATATGGTCCTCAGATTTCAAACCTCAGCATTAAATTTCAAACCAAAGAGTTTTACTTCCAATAACACTTTGTATTTGCTTTCCTAAGCAAAATGAATCTTGTACTTATTGTTTCACAGAAACCAAAATGAAGAAATCATACCTTCAAAGGTCCAGTCTCTGTTAAAAAAAAAAAAAAAAAAAAAAAAACAGCTAAAAAATGCATGCACTACCAAGAACATGGACGAAAAGGTCCCCCTCAGGATGGAAAATTTCACAAACACTGCCTCCTCCAAGCCAGATGCATTCAGGGAGTCTACAGGTGCTCTCCACCTCTTGGTCTGAAGGGAAGTTATATTTTAAAAGTACTTTTATTGCTACCATTTTTTATTAAACTTCTGTGAGTCATCAGTCATACTCAGTTGACCTCCCAAGTATTTCTGGAAAAGTAAGAAGTACCTACAGAAAGTTCTTCATGTTGGGCTATCTATGGCAACCCAATTAACAACTGACAACTACAAAATAAAATCCAAACACATTTGGATTAGGTACTAAAAGCCCTTAACGATCTGGCAGACACCCTCACCCCCAGTTTCTGCCAAACTCCTGGTTTGAGTACTTCCCTACCCTAAGCAGTACAGACCAGACCCTCTTCTGCCTCCACACCTGTGCTCTTGCAGTTTGCTCTGGTTGGACCATTATATTAGACATCTTGGCCTGGGTGGACTACAAATACCTGGAAGGCTTCACATTTTGTTTGCTTTGTCCCTCTGCGATTTTACTCCTCTTTCCAATGAGCCTTTTATATTCCTTGTCTGAATGGTACCACCCAGTTCTTTAGGCCAGAACACCAGCAATTTCAAGACTACAACTACTTCTTCACTCCTATAAATAACAAGCCTCCAGTTCCTTGGATTCCAGCCTTGATATTTGCCCCAGGGTGGCCTTCAGTTCGTGATTTTCCTGTCTCAAACTCCAGGTGCTGACATTACAGACATGAGCTACCACATATGGCCATGTTTCCAGTTTAATACTGTTCAAACACAACCCTTCCTAGTCATTTCCACTCCCCCTATCTAGCTGAAGCCATGACACAGCAGCATCTTTTAAATACTCATCTATTCCAGTGTCTGGACCCTTCCCATTCTGCCAAGTGAGAAAACCCTCCAAACCCTTCAGAGCTTCCAGGCTAAAATCAAATTCTTTAGCATGCTTTCAAGAGCCTCCATAGTTGACTCCACATAATACTGGAACTGCAACAAGGCTGACTAGTCATTGTCTTTCACATGCCTAGGTCTGTATGTCCTTCCACCTACAGTACGCTCTGCTTAGAAATCTCTTTTCTAGGTTCTTTATATGCCTAAGGAAATCGTGAAAAGACTTAAGTCTTCCATTTCTGCCTAGAAATGTGGCTCAGATATTTCTCCTCTATGCTCTCAGTAGCTCTGTGCTCACACAATGCACACACTCAGCCATCCTTGATTTGTTGGCCCCTTCCCATGCTGTAAACCCCGCAAGTGTATTGCTAGCTACAAGGGCTAAGTGCCTCATCTAATATGTGTTTCCCATAGTAAGGTCTAGTAAGGGCTTAGCAAATGATGAATGTGCTGTCCTAACCCTGGAGTTTCACTTCAAGGGAAAGCAGTACAAAGAGCTACAGCTAACAGTTCTGACACTAACCTCTGTCTAAAATATTCTCATCCCCTCTTGATCTTGCAAAATTGTTTCTGACTCTCTTGCTATACCCTTTCACAGCACCCTCATCACATTTATAACTACTTCCTTAACCGTCTTTGCACGGTTAACTCCATGAGGGCAAGGACTAGACTTTTCATAGCTTTATTTGATGAAATCTTCCATAGTGCTGACACAGAATAAACACAATTTTGTTATACATTGATTTTAATCCTGTGAGGAGAGTAAACACCTCCACTTCAAAGATGAGCAAAACAAGGCCTAAAAAAGTTAAATAGGAAGTCCTACGGCTACAGCCACTGGGCAACTGGGCCAGGCCCAACCTGAACCATCTGATTTCAGAACCAGAAGTCGACAGCACCTCCCATAAAGTTAGCTTGACTTCCAGAGGCAGTCTAAGAGTAAGGGGAGCTCTCTGAATGTAAACAGCAGGGCTTTCTGGACTATTTTAAACTCAACGGGCATTCCAAAAATTTAATTTTTTTTTTTTAGTTTCACATAGCAGGTAGCCTTTAACCAACCCGCAATTACCCAGATCAAAAGACTACCCCAAGTTAAGAGTGGTTCCAAGGAAATAAACATGGGAAGAACCTTTCTCCAAAACCAGACTCTTTTCTTCTCCGAGATCAATTTACCCATCCGTGCAATGGGAACGAGACCTGATCAGAAGGAAAATTTTAAGGTCTCCCGGAGTCTGACCTCAGCGGACGCTGATAGGCAGAGCTGTGAAATCGAAAGGAAAGTGGCTCCCCCAGGATCTCCCGGCTCAATCTGGTACCCCGGCCCCACCTCAAGAGACCGCACCCAGGAACCCAGGATCGCGGAAGAACCACGGCCCCTCAGCAGGGTTCCCCATACACGAGTAGGTTAGCAAGGCTACCAACGCCAGGAACCGGTGGACCCCCAAGACCACCCCAATCCTTAACCAGACACCAACCCTCACCTTAAGAGTTCCGCCTCACCTCCGGACAGCGATCAGCCGCTCTCCACTTCCGGCAAGAACCGCCCAGCGGTCTTCGCGCGACCCACTTCCGGGCCCTCACTGGGCGCGGCACCCCCACCGGAAATGAACCGCCGGCTGAAACGCTAGCCCCGGAGAGAGGAAGAAGTTTGGCCGCCCGGCTCGTGGCCCCGCCCTCATTCCCCGCCACCGGAGAGAGAGTCTGGCCTAGGAGCGCTTGGTAAAGGGCTCCGCCCCCAAGGCGGGGGTGACTGGGAGAAGGGGCGGGTTTACGATTAGTCACGCCCCCAGGCCCAGACCAATGAAGATCTGGAATTTTCTCTCCAAGCCCCGCCTCCGCAAAGGAGGGCAGATGAGTGGCTGCTTCCCCTGTCAGTTTGTGCTCAGTGACGGAGGCTGGTCCATTTCTAACCTCACTCCGGAAGCGGCTCAGAGAACAACAGTAACGCTGGAGGCTCTGAGAGGCAGTCTCTGGCGGAGGGGATCCAGGCCAAACTCCACCCCTCGCCGGGCGTACAAGCCTTGGTTTCCCTGTCTGTGGTGCGGGAAAGCATTGGATTCACGGAGGCTGAGCGCAGCTAGCCCGCCTTTGAGCGTTTAGGCAAGCCCGCCCTTGCTCGGTTCTGTGGCTAGGGCTGGGAAGGTGGAGGAAACCTTCCACTCGAGCCCCACTTCCTGTTTGCTCTGTTCGCTTTGTGACCATAGATGGTCAGGTCTGTGGCCGCGTGAAAGCTTCCGCCCCGAGGCTTTGGAGTCCTTCCTCCCATCCAGCAGGGTGTGGTCCCTGAGAATGAAATGAGCAGAATTAGAGATCCTGTGCCACTCCTCAAAAATCTTGCTTTTGAGGCATCCTCGCCCCAGGCTATGTATGCTCAGGTGGCGGCTAATGAGTCAGTATGCGATTGAGAACTCTAACTGCAGCCTGCAGGGCGGTCTTCGCCTTCCTGCTTCTTAGAAAGGAGATCGTGTCTTTTGTTTCCTCCGGACTTAACACTTTACAACCGCTCATTATCCTCCCACAAAGATTTATTTCTAGGAGAAAAAAAAAAAAAAACATTGGCCAGTGCTGTGCTATGGTTCTTACCCCTTAGACTGAATGACTGACAGTTCTGTGTTCAAGTTGAATGCAGGTGTTATATGCCAGAGTCAGTCACTCAATAAATATAGTTCTTGTAATAATAGCTACCATTTACTTGGCACTGACTACATGCCAGGCTTGTGCTGAGCGCTCAAACCACTTCCATTTAAACCTAATAGCAATTCTCTGCGGTAGGTGCCATTACATCCTGGGAGCTTCAAATGAGAAAGCTGAATAACTTGCCAAGGTCACAAAGTAGATGTTGGAACTTTGAAGGGAACATACATCTGGTTCTTAAAACCATTGGATTTAATTAACCCCGATGATAGATCGATCTGGAATCATTTGAGGCATTGGATGCCTCTGACGCTAGATGCAGGTCGGTTCCATTCCTGACTTGAGCCCTTTACTAGGGGCCCGACTTCGGACCAGTTGCTTTGGACAACTTACTGGCCTCTACCAATTCTATGATCCTAGTATGTTTAAAAGAGAAATAGCAAAATGACAAACTGACAAAAAAAAAAGTATATTTAAAATGTGTACATTTGGGGAGCAGGCATAGTGTGACTCTTGCTTTTAGTTCCAGCACTCAGGAGGCAGAGGCAGGTAGATCTTTGTGAGTTCAAAGTCTGCCTGATCTACACAGCGTTCCAGACCAACAAGGGATACACAGTGAGACCCTGCCTCAAACAAACAAATACAGCTGGCCGGAAAAATGACTCAGTGGGGTGAAGACACCTGCTGCAAAGGCTGTGACTTGATCTGGATCCCCAAGAACCACAGGATGGAAGGAAAGAAGACCCCATGTGCCTTCAGTGCCCACACACAACTTCTCATACATACCCTTGGCTGGCCTGGAGCTTACCATGTAGACCAGACTTGCCCCAAACTCAGAGATTTGCCTGTCTCTGCCTTTTGAGTGCTGGAATTAAAAACATGTACTTGGTCAATACTTTTTTTAAAAAAAATTTAAAGATATATATGTATATTTAACCAAAAATACCGGGTTTTGTTTTTGTTTTTTCAAGATAGGGTTCTCAGGCTGGCCTCGAACTCACAGATACCTGCCTGCCTCTGACTTCCAAGTGCTGGGCTTAAAGGTGTGCCGCCGCCACCACCACCAGGTCAAAATTACAGTCTTAACATCAAAAGGTTAGACAGGTGTGGGGCACACCTATGATCTCAGCGTTGGGAGGCTGAACTGGGAGGATTCTGAGTTTGAGGCCAGCCTGGGCTACACAGCAACAATTCCTCTGAAAGCAAAACAAAGCAAAAAATTAAATGGTTAAATTTAAGAGTATATGAAGCTCAGAACCAACAACCCCTCCTCTTAATCTTAATCTATTTTACCCTCCTACATCTCTTTCTTGACTAGGGACAAGAAATGTACAGAGCATACATGCATTCAAGAGCAAAAGGAGAAAGAGGAAGAAAAAGGGATGAAACGGGGCCAGTGAGATGGTTCATAGGAAAAAGTGCTTATGTAAGCCTGAAGATCGTCGTAACCCACATAACGGAGGAAGGAGAGAAGCCTACTCCCAAAGTTGTTTTCTGACCTCTGCACACTTGAAATGGCATGTATGCCACATACATACGTAATACATAAATAAAAGACCATATAAAACTGGAATAATTCATGAGCTTGCAATGAAAAGTAGAAACAATTATTTTTTAAGTCATTTTATAAAATGATTATAGAAAATAAGCTGGGTGGTAATGATACATGCCTTTAATCCCAGCACTTGGGAGGCAGAGGCAGGAGGATCTCAGTGAGTTCGAGGCCAGCCTGGTTTACAGAGCAAGTTCCAGGCCAGCCAGGGCTACACAGAAACCCAGTCACGGGGGAAAAAGAAAAAAAAAACTGATTATAGAAAATGAACACACAATTTAAAGCCCATACCCTAAGGAACTGTTTTGAATGCATGCACTTGTAAATCCAGTCACAGATAGAAGAAAAACATTACCTGTTGTGTATTTGTCTACATTTTGAAGGAAATGTATTCAGGAGGAGGACAAACGAATATGATCCCTTACAGTACATTTGGTCTCCTGGGACGACCACTGGAATGCCTGTGTTCCTCTAAAACTCATATAGAAACAATCCCAAACAATATCAAGTGACAGGACTCTTAGGATATGGTCAGGCTATGAGGACTGCCCTTGTGGATAGCATCAAAGCCATTAAAAGGCTTGAAAGCTATGTACACTTTGCCCTCCTGCCTTCTACCCTATAAAAACTTGGCAACAAGAAACCATCTCAGAAGCCCAGAGCAAGACCTTTTCAGACATCTCGAGGACTTCCAACCTCCAGAACTGTTAGAAATAAATTTAAATTGTTTATAATGGTTTATAAATGATCCCCTCTCAAGCATTTTACTATAGTAGCTGTAAGGGCTGACATCACTTAATATTGCATTTCCTCCTCAGTGATCATAACTATGATCATAACTGTTGGGAGTGGGGGAGTCCTTGCTTGTTTGTTTTGAGACAGAGTTTCACAATGTAGCACTACCTAGCCTGAAAATTACTGTATAGACCAGGCTGGCCTCAGACTCACAGAGATCTACCTGCCACTGTTTCCCAAATGCTGGGCACAATTATCTTTGAATATCTTTCTCTCCCTACTAATTTCTTTCTCCCTGTAATTCCTTGTGAATTACAAGAATTGATGATAAATATTTATAGAAGAAATTTGACTAAATGAAAAGGATAGGAAGGTGGCTCCAAGACTTGGGGTGTGGGTGATGGGAAATGAGAGCAGGACAGAATTTGGGCTTGCAGGCTTTGAGTTTCAGACCTTAAACTCTAGCCTGGGAAGAAAAAGGGAAGAAAGACTTGTGGTCAATCAGTTTACAGGGAAGAACTGCGTAACTCTTTGCATATGCTATCACCTTTTTTGTGTGTGGAGGGGGAGCTGGGTTTCAGCACATTCTAGATCTGAAGAATTGCTTTGTCTCTCGGGGTGGGGGGAGGGTGGTACCCAAGTCTCCTTATCTCTCAGGGTTTCAGACACAGAATTCTGACAGTTCATCTGGAGCACTTCCCAGCCTGGCTCACAGGACAGCATGGATCCCTGCAACCTGGCTCAGAGGACTGTGTGCATCTGTGTAGCCTGGCTCAGTGCCTGCGTGCATTCGTGCAAATCCTGTATCCTCTGCCAGGAGTGACTGATGGCAGACAACAGTCTTTGGAGACTGTCGTCTTTCTCCCCTTCCAAAGGCAGGGGCCCCAGGCTGCAGCTTGAGAAAGGGTCCCAGGCTACACTTAGGAGTTGCCAAAAGAAATAGCAAGGATGAAATAGCAAGGTTAAAGTCTGACTTTGGGGTCACACTTGACCTGAAAATGAATCCCAAGCCTGCCATTTACTGTGTGATCTCAGAATTATCCTCACTTAACCTACAAGAAGGAAATTCATACCCAACTAAAACGATTGATATAAATTAAGAAAGAAAATTTATACAGTTTATAAAAAAACAGTTGGCTCTCAGGAAACAATGAATGCTAACAGTTAGGACTCAGAACAAAGGACCCATTGTCTGTACCCCCGGTGAAGGCCACCAGAGAGCAAAATAGGATCTGAAGTGTCAACATACTGGCTGGTGCCACCAGAACTGCCACTACTATCTCATCAGAAAGATTCTCTACAGTCTCTATTTACTTTTATGGCTATCTTTTGGTTCAGGGTCAAGGATTGTGCTCTTGGCTGCAAGTGAGACTGAAATAAATCAGGAATCTGAAATGCCTTTGCCTACAAATAACAGAAAACTTGGCTGCAATTATTTTTTTTAAAATATGTTTTAATGGCTCAATATCAAAGCCAGTATTTTCTGACTCCATCCCCTTGCCACTTTGGGGGTGAGACAGGGCATCATGATGTAGCCTTAACTGACCTGGAATTCATCTACCTGCCTCTGCCTCCTGAGTACTGGGATTAAAGGCATGTGTCTCCCTGCCCCACTCACTCCCATCTTACCCTTTTCAGTTGCAAGTAAGCTGCTGCAGCTGAAGCTATCTCATCATATTTAAGGAAAGAGGAAAGGGAAGAGGCAGTGTCTGAAATTGGAAAACTAAAGTTTTCTCAAGAACCCACAAAACATACCCTGTTTCCGGTCTCATAGCCAGATCTCTTGGTGAACTGAGTTCAGCTTCCCTGTCTCTTAGAGGGACCTTTCTGAGTTTCATTTCAAGTGTTTCCAAGGGTCCCCAGAGGTCCTGAGCTCACTGGCCCATAGTTATAACCACTCACTCACTATCTTACTCAGGGTTTCTATGGCTACAATGAAACACCATGACCAAAAAGCAAGGTGACAAGGAAAGGGTCTTTACATTTCCATATTGCAATTCATCATTGAAGGAAGTCAGGACAGGAACTCAAACAGAGCAGGATCCCGGAGGCAGAAGTGGACACAGAGGCCATGAACAAGTGCTACTTACTGGCTTGCTTCCCATGGCTTGCTCAGCCTGCTTTCTTACAGAACCCAGGACCACCAGCCCAGGAACAGAACCACCAACAATGGGTTAGGCCCTCTCCCATCAATCAATAATTAAGAAAATACCTTGCAGAAGGATCTTATGGAGCCATTTTCTCAATAAAATTTCCCTCCTTTCAGACACCTCTAGTTTGCATGTCAAGTTGACCATAAGACCAACCAGCACACTCACAAATTCTGTATTCACTTTTCTACCTTCCTTTGTCAGGCTGGAGATGTAACCCAGTTGGTAGAGTGCTAGCCTAACATGGCTGAAGCCCTGGATTTGATTCTCAGTACTGCATAAGCCAGATATAGTGGCACATGCTTATAATCATAGCATTAGAGAGCTAGGGGCAGGAGGATCAGACATTCAAGGTCATCCTGGGCTACAAAGTGAGTTCCAGGCTAGAATGAGATGTATGAGACTGTCTGTAAAAACAAACAAACAAACAAACAAACCAGACAACTCAAACTCATTTGAACTCAACTTGTCTTTGGGAACTCCAAGAGATGGTTTAGTGGGTAAACATATTTGCTGCAGAAGCCAGGTGATCTGAGTTTAATATCTGGAACCTATATAAGGGGGAAGGAGAGAATTGACTCCTCAAAGGAGTCCTCTGACTGCCACGTATACCCTGGAATGCACCAGTGTCCCTCCAACCTCCAAATATATACACCACTAGAATAACAGTAATTATAGTTCACTTTTTAAAAGAGAATAGAAGGGCTAAGGAAATAGCTTAGTGATTAAAAACGCTTGCTTATCCAACAGAGGACCTGGGTTTGGTTCCAAGCACCCACACTGGGTGGCTCACAACCACCCATGGTTAAATCCTCTTTGGTGCCCAGTTGTGACACTATTTTGAAGGCTGTGGAGTCTTTCAGAAGTGGGTCCTGACTAGAGGAAATGGATGACTAGAAGTGGATCTTTGAAGGTTCTGCTCACCCATGGTTCTAATTTGCCTTCTCTGCATCCTGGGTGGCTGCCATGCAAGCAGCTCTGCCACACGATCTCCCCTGTATGAGGGCCACAGCATGTTCCTGTCCCTTTCTGTTATGATGAACTAAGATCCCTCTGAAACTGTGAGCAGAAGTGAATCTTTCTTCTCTTAAGTTATTTCTGGCCAGCAGTTTGTGACAGCAATGCAAACACATTGCCCAGACATATGAAGGGGATGCAAGTGTTGACAGTCCAGTGAGAATGACAGATGTACGCTATGCTAAACCTTTTTTGAGTGCCCAATATCAACATATACCCTTCTCTCTATTCTAACACTTCAAAAACTAAAATAACCCCCCAAACCTCAAACAATTCCTTTATAATCTAAATCGTATGCCCCACGCCCACTTTCTACCCTACAGGTGGAATCAATGAAAAGCCCCTTCCACGATTTCATCCAGCAAGGAGTCCAGGATCTCCAGATGACATTCATGCTTCTTCCAATCCCGTGACGACTCCCCTCTAATGAGGTAAATAACTGATACGAAGTCCTTAAGGTTAGGATAACTTTGAATAGATAAACACCAGCCAACAGCAAGCCAGAGCGTGCCAAAGCAGCCAGGCAAGAGAGCTCCTATGTGCCTTGTCTGTCCCTTTAAAACCTCTCCCGAGTCACCCTGACATCACCTTGACCACAGCATGATGGGCGTGGTCGGGCACACCTATAGCCACTCCTTAGGAGGCATGGTTATGAGTCTCCCTACACCCCTCCCCCATGCTCTGTCCACTATGGACTTTAAAGATACTCCAACATGCTACATCTGCTATATGGGCCTGTGGAAGGGGAGGAAAGCAGGAGAAAGTTAGGTACAATACGTAAATATTAAGTAAAATACCAAGACATTTTCCCAGTGACTGATCTCAAGGCCTCAGTCAGTAACTTTCACTGCATATCCAGAATACATTCTATATTCTCTTTGTCTTCATCCAACACCTCAGTTCACTGGGGTCATACAATGGATACAGAAGGAAGGCATGAAATAGGTGTGGCCACGTCCTAGAAACCCCAATCCCGCAGTAGCGCATATCCTTGTGTTTATATTGAATCAAGAAGAACACATTCTACATAGCTTCTAGTTGGGACAATAGCTGAGTTTTTCATGTGTGGACCAAATCAATCTTAATCCCTACCTCCCCCTTCTGTCTCTCCCCCCCCCTTCAGG